ATTAGTAGTTTACCAATGTTCAAATCTAAAAAATCGATTTCGAAATAACAAACAAAAAATGAGGTTTTAGCATGAACTCCAAATGGAGCAAGACCGGTTCGGTCTATATGGTAAGCATCTCTTGCTATGCACGCACCATCCGCCATGTAAATCTACACTCAGTCAAAATGTCATAAATTGGACACAATCGGTAACATTACAGATCAGGTGACTATTTTGGTATCTAAAGATCTAAGACCACGAAACATGTCACTAGGAAGTTGGGACACAGACATATCGTACCGGTCAACATTTCAAATCGCTTAAAAATCGATGAATATTCGACTTTACCCTGCTATAGAAAAATCATATGCATTCGGTGCCATTTAACATGGAATTCGGAAAAAACAGTGCTAACAATCTGAGAAAATGTGAAATTATTTCTGGAAAATTTCATCTTTTACAGGAGAAAATGATTTATTAATTTAATTCACAATGTTGTAATATGATACACTGTATTGAAAGAATTAATGGAACTTGAAAATGTACATGCATGTCAATACCTTTGAATATAGACAATCTTCCATGCTGATAATGTATATTTATGTGATTTTCCACTAGGTTTTCGTGTATGTTGTAAGCAATTGGCTAATGTGGAAATAAAGGGCCTTTCTGTTGAAACATACTTTTATTACAAACTTCTTGTTACCGTATTTAAAGTAATTCAAACTGTTATATATGTATATTGTTCGATTCTAAAATTACACCATTAGTCTTTTGGTGGCTTAAGCATGCGCTTATTATCTAGATTAGTAATTTTATATAGTTGTAAAAGTGCCCAGCTTCATACTAAACTTTGCACACGGTCAACATTTTAACATTTCTATAAATTATAAAACGAAGCATTCAATTCTCAAATTTGTCGATTGTTTTCCTGTGTATTGTTCTGACGTTGTCATTGGAATCACGTGTTGTCATGAAAGTTACATTTTATTAGGAAATAACATCTAATTTTGGAATACTCGTGATTGTTGTCTGCCAATCAAAATAACAGATTATTGTTAAACATACAGGTAATGTAACTATATTGATATATTAAAATATATTCAACATTCCCTTTAAAGTATTTATATTTCGCCTATGATTGGAAATTACCTAACACATTTGATAACACACTTATAGGTGTGTTGCTTAGTTTCGTAATGCACTACATGATCTTATTGATAGCTGTTGATTAAGTGCATATGTACTATTTCTCGATATACATATACATATTATTACGCAATGAATGTTTCAATATTTGAATGGGGAAACCTTATTTGAACCATACTTTGTCGTCTCCGGGACTCTTTGGTAGTTGTTTAATAATCCATCTACAACATTGATCGAGACAGCCAAACAAACTGAAAATTTAATGTTTTTGGATTGTTGTGTACTTTCAAAGGGATGTCGATCGACCTAATAATATGATATTGACAATATATGCAAAAATCTCATTCTTTGTGAACTACTGCAGCAAAATGAATATCCTCAGATATATCTAGTAAGTAATAGACATCAAAGAGTAATAAAAAAGTTAATTTTTTCCTTTTAAGTAATAATTTTAAGACCTTCAGTGGTTAGTGGTTTTCATGTCTCAGATGATACGTACGATATTATTTGATTTAAAGACATGCACATTTCATCAAAAATGAGTAAACTTTGGGAATGAGAGCATCGTTTTGTGGAATGAACATTGATATTTAGTCCATTTTGAATTAGTAAATTTCACCAACGACCTTTCAAGCAAAGTCTTATATTTTCAACTTAATGCTTTATCGCAGATTACAGTATTGACTTGATAAATGTAAATGGTAGTCTTTTCCTCAAAAAAATAATTATGAGCAGTAAATTCGGCAGAAAGAACATCTGGAAAAATACACTTAATAACAACACCTGTTTACTACAACACAAATATATGAAAGTCTTTGGAAATTAACGTTTTTCTTCGATAAAACAATATATCATCCTGTCGTAGTCACATAATACAGCAACTAAAAAAAACTTACTGGTAGTAGAGGTCGGTCAACGTATCCACTCACATCAGATACGTTGACGTTTACGTATCTGGAGATATAACAAAACACGATATTTGATCCCGAGTCTAAGTCTATGTTACGTATCAAAACTCTTTATTCTCTTAGAAACCTATAGCTATAACAATTATACAGTTTTACTAAATTAGCAATGGTGGTGTTTTGCGAAAAGGGGGGTTCTATCATTAGCTTACATAGGCTTGTGAAAAAACAACAGATATGGGGCAATGGCAAGAAGACAGTAACAATTACCAAATGCAACACAGAAAAAAAGTCATCTTATGCATGCCTGGTCCTTGCGTTTCAATAGCAAAGTTCTACAAATCGTTCTATTTTACTTTCTCATACTTTTATTCATTAACTTGAAGTATTTTTCGTTTTGACATTATGGACTTGATATTGGGGGCCAAAAAAATATCTACCTCGCCTACCTTTTGCGATGGCCTGTCAAATTTTTCTCCCACTTTTTGTTGTTTCATGTCTGTTTTATGGTTTTTACCGTTTCCGATAAGGAGCTGAGTTTGCTTAATTTCTTAATCTTGCATTACTTTATATTTCTATATAGAAACGTAACATTTGGAAATCTTAACTTCTTCTACACTTTGTGTGGCTCAAAATAAGGTGCACTGGATTCGGTTACGTTCCAGACGCGAGATAATTAAACTTGGACATTTATATTTGTTACACACATAGTGCCACATACCTCGTATGCGCAGCTCCAACACATATTTAACGATATTTTACTAAAGGATAGTACGACATATTATTTTAGTATGTCCCCAGATACGTATACGTCAATGCACCTGATGCGGTTGGATACGTTTTAAATTGACCGACTTGCATATCTCTATTGATATGCAGAAAACTTCCCATTTGAGAACTTCTCACTTTTTTTCAATTTAATTCGATGTGAACCGTAGAAAATATTTTGCATTGACATACTTCCACATTAGATATAAATAGTAAATACGATGTTTAGTCATGTGAAACCCTAAACAAACCTATCAATATTTAAACGTGACGTCAGCCTATTCATTTACCGTGGATTCTTTTTCTAGAATCAACGCTTCCTAATTCTGTCGCTGAAATGGACTCACCAAATTATATTCAATTGTTTCCTTTGTGTGCCTAATTTCATTAAGTTTGAATTGGCTAATTTACTGATTTTTATTCACTAATGGAATTAATTTAAAAACTTACCTTTAATTTTTGTAGTTTCTATATGCCTACACTGGGAATCGAACGCGTCCTTAAAATCTGTTATGTATGACTGTCATCAACATATCGACGAAACCTCTCGGCTACCAATGGGTTACAATTTAAATGTCTATTATATATGTATAAATGAACATATAATATACATCTGTACAAAGGACTCACAGGGCTTGTATAAGTTGGTAGCCGCGAGGTTAGCATGGTTAAGATCAATGAGTTAAAGATAGGGACTTGTCGGTTTAGGTTCGAATCCCTGTATTCTCTTTGTTGTCCCTATTCTTTAGTTTTCCTGTTGTTTTTTTTTTCTTGTTTTGTATGTTATTGTGGATATTTTTGTAACAATAGCGAGTTTTACCGTTTATTTGTGGACTTTTATTGGCTGTTTCACATATTTGAAAAGAAAATGATTTTACATTCTATTTGTCCATTTTTGTTTTATAAATATTGTATGATTTCATCTGCTTTACTACATAATTTTACAAATGTTTGTTAGCAAATTCCTATGCGAGAAAATCGTGATGTGCCTAAAATTAGGGCTTCTTGCTAGAAATTTCGGTAACATACTTATTATGTATACTTTATATATGCTCTTTGGTCGGGTTGTTGTCTCTTTAATTGACACATTCCCAATTTCCATCCTCAGTTTTATAAGATATGTCTTATTTTATAAAAACAGATAATATTCAGATGCCTGATTATATAAAGATCTTTAAATGTAGAAGCGTTGTGTTATATTTTTATTTTTTTAACCAATTAATTGTGATCTAAGATTTATCATTCAATGCATCGTTGGACATGGTAACATGGTTATTTAAACTCACTTACAATACCTTCTAATTAAGAAAAGGCTTTAATTTTGAAAAGAAATTTACACAATAGTTTAAGTTATAGATACAATGGATAAGCGTAGATTCATGAAAAACAAACCATTCGCCCTCCGGGCTCATGGTTTCTTTTTCAAGAATCAACGCTTATCCATTGTATCTATATAACTGAATCAGGCGGTTAGGTGTAAAGACAATTTCTATATCTTTCCTGTTCAGCTATGACAATCTAAAATAAATGAATAAAATGAAAAGAATCACAATTTATACTTATTTCTATTCTTTTCAAATGTATATTATTTTCGTGTTCTTTGGTAAAGTATATGCTTCGAATGCAATAAAATTGGTTCGTTTCATGAGATTGCTTATTGAATAATTATAGCCAATGATAATTTATAGGTGCTGTTGCTGCAGGGTATACGTATTATCTACTCAGTAGTCCGAGTTTTTCCACTGCCAAAATTATAAAGATACATTTTCACAGAAATCTCTGGGTTTTTTTTTGGACAAATTGATAATTTCACTAACGCTAAAAATTCAACCTTTAATTTGCTTTTCTGTTCGTATCATTTATTTTCCCTTATTTCAATCTTAATCTTCTACCGAGCCTCATTATCTGCTGTCATCATGATGTGTTCCAGTGTACACAAAAAGCGGTTTGGGACAACGTATGTATCACCTATAATTGTGTAATAATTTTTGTGGGGTAAAATCGAAAGAATAGGTGTCATATCTGTGAAGAGTGAAAAAAGAAAGATTATAAAAACGTAGCTTATGAAATCAGTGAAGCTAACGTATAGTGGCTTAGATCATACTAGCTACTAGTATTTAACAAGGACAAAAATAAAAATGATGCATAAACAATAAGAAAACGCTCTTACGCACAACACAGATAATCATTTACAACTGCAGCATTATAAATTTTTATTGAATAATTAACACAATGAAGAATACCATAGCAACTGTGTTAAAAGAAATGCCAAATATAGGAAACATTTATACCAAAGTAACAAAAAGAGACTTTTGCAAGCACATTAGATCATTCCAAATGCGTAAACCATGTACACAGCTGGCAACATTTCGAATTCAACCAATATTTACTCTATACTGTGTAATTTTGATTATACTTTGTATAATGAGTCAAATATGATAGTGCAAGAACGCGAGACATAAGGGAAATAATTATCAAACAAAATATACCATTGCGATTTAGGAAAAGAACATAAATTAATGCATGGTTACATAACAAACAGCAGGCAGTACAAAAAAGAAAATAAAGCATGACTGAGGGGTGGGTCTAAATCATCTCCATGGAAATGAGATGTGCCAATGCTTATAATACTGCATACCGAAAATCATTGAATTTCCACAAGTGGTTCCCCTTAAACTGTTTTAATCACAAAATAATACACTGTTGATGTCGCCGCCGCGGGAAACAACACACATAATACTTGTTTTTTTTTAATTTTGTCGAGCCGAGACAATAACGTAGAGTTTTAAAATGATTTAACATGGTTTACATCATTATTGATTAATCAATAGTAATTGATGGTTTTGAGTCTAATCAACTACCCTCTTTGCTAGCCAAGGGTTACGATCCACTTCCCTCCTCTCCACCCTTGGCAGATTGAGATAGAATTTCGGAGACACAAGGTAATGATTTTCATTGGTTGCAGTCGAAACTCGCTGCATCCAATCAAAAAGCCCCTATAACATGATCACGTGTAAATGTAGAAAGTGTATGTAAACAATTGCCACGTGCTTATTGTGCAACAAGTCTTTACATCCCTAAACATACGACTATATTTACTTATTTAGTGACAATTTGAATGTTTTTAATCAACTAATAGAAGTTCCTGTGTTTGTTTCTTGCACAAATGCATGAATGTCAACGTATATTTTCGTTTCCTGCTTTACCAAGTGTGTAGAATCTAGACGCTACCGTGTTTTTACCTCCAAATTGAAGAGTTCAAGTGCTACCATTGGTCAAGAATAATGTATTCGGAATGGGCGTGACTTTAATCTACCGATAGATGGCGCAACATTGTTATTACAAGTGTTGACTTAATCTGCCAAGGGTGGAGAGGAGGGAAGTGGATCGTAACCCTTGGCTAACGAAGATGATCAACTACCCAATATACTAAAAACGTAATAACATAAAAAGAGTTGCGAAAAAAATTAAACCTTAACATTAATATTATGCTAGCGTCTTAACATAAAAAAAATCAATACACAATATATACAACGTGCTACAATGCATCAAACAAATTGTATCAACAAACATCGTAATGGAAAACTTTAAGTCTCGGTTTGACTGAATGACTGTAATATGAAGTGTCAGAGTACGGGGAATAACGTACAGTATGGTGAACGAAACTGTCTGTGTCTGCTATGGAATGACCATTTTCCTTTTTTAAAGCACTTGCACTTTTACCACAGAAATCGTAAGTAACTCTTGGAACCTCGTGACTGAAAAATGTATTGAAAGTAGGTTTGATACCAAAATCTGGCGAAAAAGTTCTTCCAATGTTGTCTGTTGTCAGTCTATTTTTCATCAAAACTTCTGTTGATTCATCGCTTAGTGGTGAAACAGAAAATATTGGACTTGGATAACCTGAATAAAAGAGGATAGTTCAGTTTCTTGTATATTCCTCCATTAATTGTGGAGCACTACCCATAGGGTATAATTGTAGCAACTATATACACCTTAGAACATAAGGAAACATTTAATTATGTACAGATGACTGAATTTAGGCAACAATAATTACTAAATAATTAATATTATAACTAATTCATAGGATTGTCATCATAAAATTTTAAAAATAATATTCATAGTGTGCTGAGGTGTAAGAATAAGTTAAGTAAGAACTGGATATATTTACAAATAAGAATTTAGAATTTAAGTGGTCTTAAATTAAACTTTCTTATAATTGTTAGTTAAAGGTGCTGAACGTACATCAGAATTTATAGTGAGAAGGTTATTTTATATGACTTATGTAAAAGGGTTGGGGTTTAGAACAATTCATCATATATACATAAGTTTTCCTTCACAGTTTAAAGTTACCTTATTTCGGATCTTATCATTATTCTTTAAAGGTAACTGGATATCTTAAAACTTTGCAAAACATTTTATTTAATTTAGGTCCTAATAAGTCATAAAATAGTAAGATGGTAAAGTAGGGAACTATTTTATTTTAAAAAAGTTTACTTATACTGTACTTGTGTTCAAGTTTTTTATCCTTTTTGTGCGCAGCATGTGCATCTCGTAGCACATATTTCTAGCCAGAGTTTCAATGTTTTCATACACAGTTGAGTAACAGTTTATGTCCTTGCTAGTACAGTCCATTATGAGCTGCAGTAAATTCCCTTCTTGTATGATCTTCTTGTATGTTGAGGTATCAATTTCATCCATTGTCTGTTCTATTTTTGAGCAATATTTAGATCTTATTTGCTCCAATTCTTTGCAGCGTAGAATAAAATGTTCTAGATCTTCATTTTCCTGTTCACAGATTGTACATATCGGGTTAACTTTCGGATCGAACTTAGCTCTTTTGGCTTGTAATATGTATGTTTGAGTACTTATTCTTGCTTTTATTTCTCCTGCCTTTACATCTTTACTATTGTTTTTTACGCTTTTCCATATATTGTGTGCTTCATTTACTGGACTGTTCTGTATCTCTATGTATTTAAGTGATGTTTTTTTCCATTTTTTCATAATGACATTCATTTTTCCAGTATTCCTTGATCTTTATTCCTACTAGTCTTTTCCATTCGATTTTCTTAAGTGGTTTTTCTATGTAGTAACTACTAGATTTCAAATTGTATTTTGATAGAGTTTTTTCCACTCTGTTGATAAAGTCTTTTCCTCTTTGGTCTGATAATGCTATTTGTCGACGCAGAATTTCACATTCTATGGTTCCTGAATTTCGAACAATATTCATGAAGAAGGTAAGTAGATTTTTGTCTAATGTGATGGCAATAGGTTCTGCTCCTACCAGGATATAGACAGCCATATTTGCTATATTATTTGGAAGCCCTTGAATTTGTCGGAGGATTTTTCTCTCTGCCAGTTCTAGCATATCCTTTTCTTTTGCAAGTAAGTTCATCACCTCAAGTCCGTAGATGCTTCTTGGTACTGCATATGTTCTCCATAGCTTGTATGCGACCATGGGCGAGAATCCCCTTCTGACATGTATAACGGCTCCGAGAAGGCTGTATATCGTTCTCCTGCCGGTTCTTATTCTTTCAGAGATACTTGCCCGGTTTTGCTCGTTTCTTTTGATACCTAGATATTTGGTTTCATTGGTTATATTGATGTCATCGTCTTCGAATTGCAGTGTTGTTATGTTTGAGCCTTTTGCATTATATAAAACAGCTTGAGATTTAGTTGGATTGATTTTAACTAGATCTCTGCTTGTATGGTGCTGTACTATGTCTAATATTCCTTGTGCGTCTGCAGTACTATTTGCCAGGACAGCAATGTCATCGGCACATGTGGGTGCAGGGACTTGTATTTTACCAATACATGCTCCAAGTCCACTTTTTAAAATGCTATCCAGTATGACGTTGTTGTATCATTTATATAGCGTCGTAGATAGTTTTGCACCTTGTTGAATTCCTTGTAACACCATTACATCTTCTGTACATTGACCTTCCCATTTAACCTTAATGCTCATGCCATTATACAAGTTTCTCAGTAGTATCCAGAGTTTTCCTTTTATGCCATAATGGTACAACTTGTTGAATAGTATTTCATGGTTTAGTTTGTCAAATGCCTTTTCTGCATCAAGAGTTATTAAAATCATCAGTATCTTTAATTTCTTACTTTCTTCGATTGCTTCTGGTGTGAGGAAAGCTGCGCATAGTGATGATACTCCTTCTGTAAAGCCTCTTTGCAAGGAGTTTTGTATGTTATTAAATACAGAGTCAACTCTATCCTTCAGTATACTTTGTAATATTTTTGCAAAGGTTTTAGTCACAGTTATTCCTCTATAGCTAGATGGTAATGTTTTGTCTTTTTCTTTCTTTAGGATTGGTGTAAGAATCCCTGTCTTTAGGAAGATTGGTACATCCAGATATGTTAAAATTAAATTTAGCAAATGTACTATAAAGGGAGTTAACTCATCCATCCCATATTTGTAGTGTTCTGCCGAAATTCCATCCTCATCTGGTGCTTTTCCTGCTTGAAGTTTTTCTATAGCTTTATTAACCTCCTTTACATTGACATGATCAATGCCTTGACCTTTTTCCCTTTATATTGTTTTGTATTTCTACAAGCTCTAGTTTTTCAGTGTCAAAATTTTCTTCTAATGTTGGCGTAGCTAGTTGTTGGAAATGTTCTTGCCAAATGTTCATTATGCTTGGTCCATCTTCTGCAGTCTTTTCATTCAGTTTCAGTATCTTGGTGTTAGTAAGTGGTGTTTTTCTTTGCATGTTAATAAGCTTGTAAAAAAGTTTTGTGTCTGCATTTGAAGCTTTCATAATTTTTCCCGCTGTTGATTCTCTCTGAGAGGCATAAGCTTGTCTTTGTGCTTTTCGAAGTATTCTTTTTGCAGCTGTCATTTTGATTTTGAGTTCGTTACTTCTTTCTTGGGGTGCTTCATGTTGCCTCCATACTTTATATGCATTTTTTGATTGCTTTGATGCCTTTTCTATTTGTTCATTCCATATCGCCTTTCCCTTTAATTTGATTTTGATTTTTCTTCTATACTTTGGGATTGCCGCTTCTCCGGCTTTATGTAGCAATTTTTCTAGATTTCTTATATCTTGCTCAATGATTCCTTTTGATTTTTGCATGAGGTTTGGTAGATCTTTATTGATGATTTCCTTATAAATTTGATGGTCACAGTCAGTCCATTTAGGTTTTGCTATGATAGTTGCTGTTTTTTCCCTTACTTTTTTCAGTTGGCTATTCAGTGTCAGAATAACAGGTACATGGTCCGAGGTATTCCCTGGGTCAGTGTCAAGGACATCAATTTGTCTGATTTCATTTATTATTTCCGAGTTACTTTTGAAGAGGAAGTAATCAATTTGTCCTTTCGATTTACCATTCTGGTGATAAAATGTTTCTTTTAATGGGCATTTCTCAGTATTTCCTATACAATTTTCCTTGCAGAAAGTTTGTAGAATTTTATCATGAGGTGTAGAGCTTCTATGGAGTGACCCGTTTATGTCTCCACATACTATAATTTCGTGTGTATCTTTATATTTCTCTATCATTTCATCAATTTGAGCCAAAGTGTCTTTGTATTCGATATCTGCATTTTTATTATCTGATGGCATATATACATTTATAAGACATATTGGTTTGTCTCCTTGCTGAATATGTATGGCTTGTATTCTATTTCCACCGTCTATCAGTTCCTTTATACTTTCATTAATTTCTTTTTTCCAGATTATGGCTACTCCACCATATCCTCTTATCATTGATACGTTGAAATCAGGGTCGTCATTATCATCAACGCTTTTAGCTTTGTATCCGCTATGTTCAGCAACTTCAGCTATGATTTTCTTTTCCGCATTGGAGAGCCAGTGTTCTTGAATGCATAACACCTGTACATCCCTTAACAAGTTTTTGATATAGAGAGCGTTTGACTTCATATTTTGTACATTGAGTGTACCTATAATGATATCCTCCCTTTTATCTTGTTTGAACGGCCGCTGCCTAAAAAATGATTTGGTTTCTTTCTATTCCCATCTTCTTTTGTTTCTAGATTGTCAGCCTGAACTAGTCCCTTTAGATGCTTAGGACCACCAACATTAGCCCCCCTTTGAGAGGGAAACTTCTGATGGCAGTCCGCTTCCAGCGGGGCGTCCCCACTAGAAGCCGTTGTTATAAGACCAGTTCTGGAAGTGACTTCTACTTGATGGTTTACTTCTGTATATGAGTTTTATCTTCATCATTTTTCGCGGTAGTCAAAGCAGCTGAATTTGTTAGATTGATGTTAATTCTAGCTTCTTCTGTTGGTTCTTTATCTACTTGGTTGATATTATCAGCCTGACTTGTTTGTTGTTGTAGTTGATTTTGTCTTTCAATTTCTTCTGCCTGACTTTGTTCAGCTATTACTGGCATGTTTGTTCTTTGGTCATAGAATCTTTTATTGATGTTTCTTTGACTTTGTTCCTTTCTGTTTGTCTGTTGTTGACTATATCCTTGGTGGTAATTTATATTTTGTGGTATAGGTTGTGGAGCTATCCTATATTGCTATCTGTATAAATGTGCATTTTGTATCATGTTAGTGTTGATACTGCCAGTTGATATACCTCTATAGCCAGTGTAATAGTGGCTGCTTTGGCCATTTGCAGGTATAGCCTGTATTCTGCTATTGTGGTACATTGGCGCCTGTATATGGCCATGATTTATTCTGCTCTGCTCTGTTGGTATCTGGCTATAGTGTGGAGGTGCCAAATGATTCATGAATAGTGGATTGGCTTGATTAGGAATCCTGGATTGCTGATTTGTTAGCTGTAATCCAGTATGCTGATCACTCATTTGGTGTTGGTTTGTGTTCCTAGTATTATCCATATTCTGGTTATAAGGATAATATTCATGACTTCCTGGTCTTTGCCACATTCTTAGTTCTTTCTGTAGTTCCATTATTTGCAGTTTATTTCTTAATTCCTTCATTTCCATTTGATGTTTAATTCTTAGGTCTCTATTTTCCATTTCTAGCCTGAAGTTGTTCAGCATCATATCTACTTTGTTTATAGTCTGCTCCTGCGAGTTGTTGCTACAGTTACAATTTGGTTGATAGGATTTTAAATTACCTTTGTCAATAGTGCTTTCTTCTGTTTGCATCCTAAGTAGATTGATTGTATTTCTATAGTCTCTATTGGTATCTTCCATTATGACTAGTCTTGCTCTGCATTGTGCTAATTGATCTTCCAGCTGTTGAGTAGTTTCATTTATATTTTTGCACTTATATTGCCTTTTCGGTTTTGCTTTCATGTTTTTTGGCTCATCTACATTTTCTATTTGTTCATTTCTGCCATTCTGTAATATTTGGTTAGGCTGTTTGTATGTAGCCATTTTGTTCATTTCTAATTCTTCTGTGTTTGCATTTCCTGCTTCTTCCTTCGTAACGTCATTTCTAGTTGGACAGTCTTGAGATGTATTGTCTGACATGTTTTTAACTATATGGGCCATTTCACTATATTCCTCTGTCGAGCCTTGTTCTTCTAGACTTACTTTTGGTATTGTTTCTTCTGTATCTTTAATTGAGTTATTGCTTCTCATTGATATATTAACCATGCCCATGTCCATAATAGAGCAGCTCCTACATGAATACTGTTCTTCTTCAGTTTGGCTTATCCTTACAGGATCAATGTTTTCACATGTATAATGAAACAGTTGGCCGCATGCAATACAGTCTATGGATATTTCTGGTTGTGCTGTCTGATTGCATATGGCACAGTAGTTATGTATAGTAGACATGCTGACTGCACTTGTATCCGGACTTGGTGTTGGTTCCTCTTCTGACCATTCAATGGCTCTATTCCAGTTACTTAGAAGTTCTTCGTCAGTATTTTGTATACATTCTGCCCCTTTGGATACTAGTATTCTATTACTGTAGTTGGTTTTAGGCTGATGAGCTGTTGTTTTTACAAGTGACTCATTCTGTTTTGCTCTTATTTCTATATCGGCTTCATTTCTCTTGATTATGTTTATCTGTTCCTCTATCTGTTTGTTATATATCTTATAGTTCCCTCTTGATTTCATTCTTTCTTTTATATCTTCAATGTGTGTCAGGAAGTGTTCCATACCTTGGCCATTAACCTCTACCTTTGATGTAGTATGGAATAAATTGATACGATAGAGTTGTCTGTTACTACTTCTATTTCTGACCGAATGTGATGTTCTGATGCATGGCCCTTGATTATCATGCTGGTGTTTTGGCAAGAGCTTGTATGTAGAGTGTTGTTCAAAGTATATGTCTATTTCCCCCTTTATAATTTCATAAGCAGCTGCTGATAGCTCTAGGATGTAGTTTTGATGTTTCTGCTCAATTTGTATGTCCATTGTTCTATTACATGCTTCTAGCTTTTTGTCCAAAGCCCTGGTTTTATTGATACTAAAGTTTTCATATTTAGCTGGTGTATAGGGCTGAGGTTTGCTCTTGGTTCTTGCTGATGTTCTAGTCTGGATACTCATTTTTCACTTTAGATATTTATTTATTTTTTTAACGAGGAAGTTCTATGTAGATTAATGTGCATTCAGCAGGGCGTCCACACTAAAAGCTTGCTCAAACAAGAATTTTCCAGTTAACTATCATATCTTCTGATGTCAGGGTTTAATGAGTATGTAGATATATATCTCTATATTTGTTAGTTATACACTATGGACTAGGGTTATATAAAAGCTGTTATATTTCTATATATGAATGCAATTAAATATGGTTGTTATAAAGTTTATATATATATGTATATAGTATTCTATTCTACTGTATTGATGATATCTATCTATAACATTGCTGGAGAATTTTGGTCGCTATTCTTCTCATCCAGAGCTTTGCTAGTAAAGAGTTTGGATGTACACCGCCAGTTTTGTATAGATTAAAGTTGTAGTATTCGTCAGTACCGCCTTTTCTTTTAGATGATTTTTCGAATGTCTAGATCAAATTTTGGTGATTTTTCTGCAGATTGGTTTATTTCTTGGATGAAGGTGTTTAATTAATATAACTGGTTTTGAAGTGTTTGATCGTCTTTACTGAAAATGTCCGGGTTTTTGTGGCCTTGTGATCTGTTCCAGCACTGAATGGAGTATGGCGGTACTTCTAAGAAGATGATTTCTGATTTTGGTTTTATTTTGGTGATGACAGCCTTAAGTTCAATAAATTTTCTTCTTAGATATCGGACGTTTGAATCGTTTTTGTTCACAAGAGAGATGTATCTGGTAGTTTTGTTAAGTTCGGTTAAATAACAGGTTCCTAGCCAAATATAAAATGTGATGTTTTTGTGTTGATGACAGATAGATGGTAATTCTTTTTCGGCCCAATCAATAGTTTGCTGTACTTTTTGTCCTTTTTTTGTGACAAATTTTATATTTAGGAAGTCTTCAGTTGTAATAGCTCTCTTTATGTAGTTGCCTTTACTATCAGATATAATTATGGGTTGGCTTTGGGCTGTTTTATCCTGAATATCTCTCTTATTTACTCTGAAGTATCTGCTTGACTTTACAACTTTAGTCTCAGACATATATCAATCTTTGTGGGAACAGAGGACTAAATTTTCTTTTATCTTTCAAACACAGGATATTGGTTGAAACACAAGTACAGTGTGTTTAAAGGTTTGATTAAACTATATATATATGCGATAAATAAATTTAACAAGAAAATAAAATAAGAGAGGGGGGTCTAGACTACAGACTATGTGGTCAAAAATTTAAACTTAACTAGAATGGAAAAAATTATTTAACTGTTCGAAATGATTATAAAGATGTCTGAATTATTTATTTTAATTATTTATAAGTCACAAAAAGACTTAGACTTACTGTCTGAAAAAATAAAGTTTTATTTGTCAAAATTCAAATATGGCGCTGGAAATTAAATGCAAGGCCTGCAAGAAAAGTTAGCTGGAAACACCGTGCAATTTACAAAACTGCCTGAAGTTATTAGTTAAAACAAGGTATAGTGACCTATAATATTAAATTGTGAGGATGCAAGTGCAAATAAAGACTTGGAAACTCTCCGTATTTGGATCTGTGATCTGTGCAAAATCTTCGTGCTGCTATACAACGTCCATTCGGAACTTCATATTTAAACATCGAATGAAAAGAATGATAAGAAATATTTGTTATTTTATAAATAAGGTTTATACGAAATTTACAGTTAAAAATTCAGAATCTCATTGGAAAATTTATGGACATCTTTCTCGTACGTAGCTCTACACTTTGTGACTGACTGATTTGGCGCTACGTTTATATCCTACTGCGTTGTTACAGTCGACTGTGAATCTCACTTAAGGCAGAATAGATGATTTCCTTGATAGAATGCTGCTGCTTACAAGGAAGCTATTGTACCAAAGGGTTGAAGTTCTCCAGTCGATAGTTTTACGGACGCATTCAGGGCTTGGTTGACCGTTATAGAACATTTCTATCATATATGACCACGGATACTATTAAGTTCCGTTTAATGTAGCCAAAATCCCGACTTGTTTTCTTTGAAGCTGACAATACCAAGTGCGAGGCGCACTGAATTTTTACTTACAATGAGTAATACGATAGGTGCAACGATTGCGAAGGAATTGCTGTCCTTTTTATGAGATTTGTTTTGCTCAGTCTTTAATTGTCTGTGTAGTTTGAACGTTTTGTCAACTGTTGTATATCTTTTCGTCAGTTTTCGCTTTGTTTATATCTGTATTTATTGGATTTTTGATTGCCCTTACTATATTTTCCCTCTTTTTTCAGCTCGTATAATTTTCTGTTTTGTAATCTCGAGGACATGAATCTGTTGAAATACCCATTGTAAACACTAAAATATTAAAGTTTTATGCAGCATATCAATGTTTTCAGATATACTGTCGTATATTTGTGATTATAAACATTTGTGTTCATGAATTCATAATTGCATAATTATTAAAACATCTGGTCAGTATGTCTATTTTATACACTAAGGATTGTACAAGAAATGTTGAATATCTTCATTTCAACGTTTGAAATCTGCAATAGTGGATGAAAATGTCACTTAGCAAATTTCGAGCGTCCGAAGATCTTTCCTGGGTTAACCTTCATAAGCTACGCACGAACTCAAATCATTTGAAGGATGACGAATACTTAAACACGTCAGATGCTATAAGACCAAAAGAGACCAACAAAAGAAAAGTCAAATCCAAGTAAGGTCAACTTTGCCAGAGGGTTTGGAGCCTTAATTTCTCAACAAATCATAAATTAATCAGCGGAGATTTAATAAAAATTACGTCATAACTTATGTCAGTATCGAAGAAATAACGACTGAGTTGATGATACCTTCGGGTAAGTGTTATTAAGTGTAAATAACTGAATACATTCTGTGTGTCCGAAGCGCTTTTCTTGATTAACCTTCATCACGTTACTAGTATATTTCAGTTAGAAATACGTGTCTTGTTCAAAATCATTATATACTGCATTGATTATAATCAGAAAGAAATATCTTTTTAAAAATATTTTCCAGTCAGTTTATGACAGTTTTGAATGGAGTAAAAGGATTCAGGAGAGTACAATGGTCAACCAATTTTCTATTTAAATAAAAGTGTTTTTTGTTGTGACAGATCAGAACCTAGTTTGAATAAAAATTTTAAAAAATATTAACCTGTCTGCATAATCCAAACGTCCATTTATTTCTACCCCTAAGTGATGATACTTTACTTTGAAAAAACTCATTGCCATCTACATCCAAGTTCAATTCCCTGAAACATAGTCTTTCAATATGTTACTGACCTTGTTCTATTAATTTGCCTTCATTTTTGGGACAACTACGGTTTATTTCATTCTCCGTAAAATGTAATCCATAGCACTCAATCATGGCTTCCAGTGAGCTCCTATAAAAATGTAAAAAGACAGTTTTTAAGAGATTGTACGATGTTTCCTCTGTCTTATCTTAGATACGAATTTGTCATTTCATGTCAGCTTTGCATTTTCATATCCCATAAGCAACAGTGAGCGTCTGTGGATATTATATGTCGGTATGCCATCTATTCGTTCGTCCGCAATTCACCTTCTGCAAGTGCACATAATCCAGCAAACAATTTTATATAATCGCATACGTTTTTATTTTAGAATAATGTTTTGGAGTTTGTATGCTTAAGCACTGCCATGCTATTTTTGTGATATTACATTGATAAGAATTGTTATGCAAAAAATACAGAAATGTATTAATATTTTGCAACAAATATAACCATAATCACATTAAACAGTACCAAATTTACTGCACCAATTCAAATGCGCACTTTGACAATTTACGTCTCTCCATGGCTGCCCACGTTCAAACATTTTTAAGCAAAACCTTATCGAAACGAAATTATGGAAAATAACCAAAGGTTTTGCCAAACTGGATAAGAAATTTGAGCGAGACGCATTCCTTATTTTCCAATGATTTCGATAATGTTACAATTTAACAGCAAACTTCAATAAAAGGATATCCGTATTTGAAGGTCAGTATCAAACTAGTGAACTTGTTTGCTGTTGAAAAACTCCTGGACCAACTGTTCACCATCAGAGATATCGACCCATATGACAAACCGTTCTCGTCAAAACTATGTTTAAACCCTTTTTTTCGAAAAAAAATACACACTGAGAATAAAAAAACACACTGAGATTTAATAAACAGCTGCGCCATGAGCGCAAGATACGCCCGTCGTCTTGTGTGTGAATTTTTATGCAATAAGCATAAATAGTTTCTGACATACGGCGTGACATGCGAAAACCCCCTTTTATTTTTACAAAAAACTAAACATCTCTAAAATAAAATTTTGAATCAAAACCAAAAAGTATACAGATCTTTAGATTAATATAACTAAGAAGTGTTTTAAATCTTAAGCAATAATCATAAATCGTTTTTGAGATACGGCGCGACATGTGAAACACCCCCCCCCCCCCCCTTTAAAAAAAAATCGATATCTCAAAAATAAAATTTTGAATCAAAACTAAAAACTATACAGATCTTTAGATTAATATAACTAAGAAGTGTGTAAAATTTTAAGCAATAATCATAAATCGTTTTTGAGATACGGCGCGACATGTGAAAAACCCTTCCCCCTTTTTTTTACAAAATACTCAATAACTCAAAAATAAAATTTTGAATCATCACCAAAAAGTATACAGGTCTTAAGGTTAATATAACTAAGAAGTGTGTAAAGTTTTAAGCAATAATCATAAACTGTTTTTGAGATACGGCGCGACATGTGAAAAACCCATCCCCCTTTTTTAACAAAATACTCAATATCTCTAAAATAAAATTTTGAATCATCACCAAAAAGTATACAGATCTTAAGATTAATATAACTAAGAAGTGTGTAAAGTTTTAAACAATAATCATAAATTGTTTTTGAGATACGGCGCGACATGTGAAAAAAACACACACCTGTTTTAGTTACTAAGTCCCGTAACTCAAAAAGTTTTAATCTTATTTTCACCAAAAAGTATACAGATCGTTTGACCATCATAAGAAACAACTATGTTAAGTTTCATGAAATTTGGATAAGTCATTCTCAAGTTACAGTGCGACATGTTTACGCCGGACAGACAGACGGACAGACAGACGGACGGACGCCGGACATTTGTATACCATAATACGTCCCGTCAAAAATTTGACGGGCGTATAAAAACCTAAAATAAAACACTAAGAAATTGAAATTGCACACTGAGATTTAAAAAAAAAAGGAAAAACTTGAACACTGAGAATTTGAAATTACACACTGAGATTTTAAGACGACACACTGAGATGGAAAAAAAATGAAAAACACAGACTGAGAATTGTTAATTACACACTGAGATTTAAAAAAATACACACTGAGATTAATATGCACATTACTAATGCATATTCATGGGATGAATAATGCAACAGATTTATTTCTTGGTCTCCCGAACTCTCGTCATTATAATGAAATGCGGTTCCTTCAACCAACATTCTTAATAAATTTCAAGACTTAACATCGTTTTTTGCTAACTCATATTCATAAGTTTGTTGCCTATAATTCAGATTATTACTAACAGTGTATCGGGATTTTTTGCTTAAAACTTTTGAAGCATGGGACCCTTATCAAAAGTCTTTCTCAACTGTTATCCTGATTTCTCAAGGTAATATTTTATATTTTTGTTACATTTATATGCTATAATAGGCACTTGGGTAAACATTTCACTGCATTGTATGTATTTTTGCAGATTGTTCCAATGTTTTCTTATAATTTTAATAAAGTTTTTCACCTTTTGGTTATATTTTGTAATGAGAGTAAGTTGGTATTTTTCGTGTTCTATAGGTCTTTAATTACGTAGTTTTTCTATACGTTGTATTTCTAATGTTTTTTATAAAACATTTGGCGCCAAATTGAAGGAGTAACGAGTTCTCAGTTCCCTAGTTGTTTTAAGCTTGTAATAGATTCAGATTAAGTATGCATAAAAAGTGCGCACAAATCTCAGTGTGTAATTTTAAATTCTCAGTGTGTAATTTCAAATTCTCAGTGTGTGTTTTTCAGTTTATTTCATCTCAGTGTGTCACTTTAAAATCTAAGTGTGTAATTTTCAATTCTCAGTGTGTGCTTTTCATTTTTTTTTGTAATCTCAGTGCGTCTTTATGAAATCTCAGTGTGTAATTTTTAATTTTCACTGTGTGTTTTAGGGGTTTTTAATCTCAGTGTGTTTTTTTTTTTTAATTCTCAGTGTGTAAACTTTTCGAAAAATGGTTTAAACATAGTTTTGACGATAACGGCTTGCTATAGACCCAGCGGTAGTAAGTGGTTTTATGGTAAAACCAGAATCGTCTAATCAATTATGCCTGGGGGACTCTGTATGCGAATGTATGTTTTAAATCATACCCCATGGCAAATTACTACTATCTAGATGATACCAGTATAAACTAAATGTCTACCGGTAACTCGAATAATTCAAGCCCTTTCTGTGTCCGATTTTCTCCCACACGTTAATGTAGCCTTCGTAGATCAGCGGAATATAACGACTGAATTATTCGGGTTAGTCTACCGGCAGTAAAAAAAAAAGTAATACATACTGACACCTGTCTATTGTTGAAGTCTTTAGTTTATTTCTATCTTATTATTGCTACAAGGTTGACGTCTACCCCATATCTTTATTCATGTGAATTTGATGTGTCCGAAGCGTTTTTTTCTGGATAATTTTTGTTCATACAAACTTTTTGAGAGACATTGATTATATTACCATTGTCTTAATTTATTATATCGGTTTAATTATAATCAGTAAATGAAGCATTATCAAGGTTAATTTGATTATGAGTTAAATTTTCTGTTGATTCTATAAATTCATTGTGCGAGGAAGCAATTAAGTTTTAATAAAAAATATCCTTCGCTATCAATCAGTTAGCACAACAACGAACGTACCTGTTTTTACCGGACTCTCTAAAACCTTTGGCAAACGGGTTTCTGGCTATCTTCAAACGAGTTATCTGTGTAAACAAATATACGGCGTTAATAAACAAATTTGTTAGGATTAGAATTATAATGTATTAACACCTGCTAGGTAGTAGTCGTGGGAATCTACCACACACTTGAAAAAGTCGTCACTTTAAATTTAGTCTAGAAGAAGTTGTATTCTTGGTTACATTCAAAAAAGCTCAACTCCAATTATAGAAATATAAGTAAACATCGTTTGGAAAATAGCTAACCGTTCACGTTTTACAAAAGAGAGATTTACACACTCAGTAATTTTTTTATAAAAGAGAGGCAAAAGATACCAAAGGGATAGTGACGTAATTGTAGTATACATGTATGATGACATAAACAATAACTTTCGCTAATATAAAAAGCTTTCGAGAAATGACGCTTCTTGGATGGTAAATAAGATAATACAATATATACGTGTATAGGAAAACAGATCGGGGACATACAAAATCCTAGCGCTGCTTCAAACTAGATCGCTTATTGCTTAAGGTGGGCATTTTTATGTTGTAATTATCAGGTTTTGTAATCAGGTGTTTATATCATCAATCGTACGATAAGTCTTTACATCTAATGAATCTAAACAAATATTATCATAAACAAAACTGATATACCTATCATAATCTCGTACGTTAACGGCCATTGACGATAATAAATGAGATAAAGTATGGTATTATTCAAACAAAAGGCTTCAGGTTTTGTCAAATAGATATATTTTTGTTTGAAACTTGTCATTTGAAGTACTTTGACATCATTTGGTAAAACTCAGTGGGAATTTGAACCTATCCTTACATCCGGGGTATACTGATAGTTGAATTGATATCAACACTTATAGTTGATAGAGTGTCAAAAGTGATAGAAACGACATGTCCTCATTGGGAATAGAATAAACATTCCCCGCAGTCTTACTGAAAACATTATCAAGACTTCGACTGTAGGCAAGATACTTAATTCCATGGCATTGTCAGTTTGTTTTCGACTAATGCGTTTGAATGTCCCTTTGGTATCATTCGCCTCTCTTTTATCAGTAAAATGATTTGTATGAAATTGCGTTGAGTGACTGAAGTCTTTTTACTTACAAAAGAGTTGACACTTAAGAACACTTTTAAATATTATGTATAGTATATGTATCACATGTAAATCTTTAAATTCTAGCCTCATTATTTCAAGGCGATCTGGAATCTTAAACGACGCCTCCCGCAAACAAATTCCACATTGAGTGAAAATATAACAACAACTATGACAAAAAATATCCAACAATTTATCTTACTAATAATTTGAAAACGATGACACCTTTGTTTAAAAACATATCCGTTTTTTGTAGTTTTACCATTAATCCTATGTTATAGTATTTGTTCTCACGCTTATATTTCGATATGTGTTTTTATTAACAAAAGACGATTCAACGGGATTTTTAACGATTCTTCTAATATCGTCTCCCTTTATAGTGTTGTACTATACGTATTATTATGTTTACTTTTCTCACATCTTTCGGTGTTGTATACGCCTTTTATACGTTTATTTTATTCATATTAATGTGGACTCTACCGTTTAGTAACGATATAGCTTCACTTTTCATTCGAAGCTTACAGGTACTTGCAGTAATGTAACAAATACCTCATTATACTTTATACAGTTATAATAGATTTTCCAATCTGTAAATGATGCTAGTATAAGGGAAATTCCGTCTTCCGATCAATATATCGTAAAAGAAAAGAAATTGTCACTTTTCATACAGTTACACATTTTTTTATACATAGCTCTTTACTTGCCAAAACTCTACAAAACATGTTCTCCTAATGGGTAGCCCAAAAACATCAATACAGGGCTTTTACTTTATGCATACATTTTCATTCGAGCCATTTATGTTAGAACTACAATTTTCACTTACAAATTTATATAGTTCCCTCAGCGGGGATTGGAAGCTGGATACTGTACAGGAGATGTTACGGTATGCTATAATGATGTACTTTGTACAAGGAAATGTGATAGCATACGGTAATTAGGCAGAAATTTCGATGTTAATATGAAATTTTAAAGAAAATATATTTGTATAGGAATTTGGCGTTAGGGTTAGAACCTCTACATTTTTACAAGAGAAAATGTAGATAAAGAAGTTTTTGGATGTGCTGTTTATGTCATTTTTACCTTTAATGCTCTCAAAGGTTTTACAAAATTTTGGAATACCTCTCGGGTGAACGGAAATAAATATGTTACGTTTTCATCAAAACGGTGATATAAATTATCCTCGGTACGATGTTTTACCTCTTGATTCTGATAGGCTGTAACAGCCATAAAAGATGTCTGTGGAAAGGATGTGACAAAATGTTCCTCTGGAATGTTTTCCGTAGATAGTCGTTCAACGTGTACTCTAGGAAGAAATCTCTGCATTGACAATAACGAAACCTGTATAAAATATCATGAATGAATAAACAGGTTAGAGTGGATCCCAGTAATAGTAATCAGTTTTTGATCTATTTAAGCTAGATTAAGATATTATATACATACACGAAGAATGCATACAATTGCGATACTGTGGTACAGAATTTAGTTAAAATCGGTATTAGTCATCTTCTTTTTACAATTTTTTAATTTCGAAATGCCTTCGTCTTCCTTTTTTTTTTTTTTTATTTATTCATCTGTTTTATTTTTAACTGATCTGTATTTATTTTCCATCATCCATTTTGTTTGTGAAATGTGAAAACGGATTTTTTTTGATAAACTAAACAAAATGGTGTTGTAAAGCAATGCTAAGAAATTTACAGCCCTTCTTGTTTAAAATTAAATACCGGGTATTAAATAATTCAAATAAAATTGAGAATGGAAATGGAGAATGTGTCAAAGAGACAACAACCCGACCAAAGAGCAGAAAACAGCCAAAGGCCACCAATGGGTCTTCAACACAGCGAGAAAATCCCGCACCCGGAGGCGGGCTTCAGCTGGACCCTAAACAAAAAGTATGTTTTTTATTGTTTTAGGTAATTACTTCGCAATTTTCAAAGACGGGTGAGCAGTAGAACACTAAGACAGTGGAATGTCATTGAGTGAAGAAAGAAATGACGAAATCAAAATTAAACGAAATTGTTAAAACTAAAAGACATGGTGCGTGTCTCCTACTCTTCTATTAAAATCGAACACAGAACATCATGTAAGAATATAACAGAAAATCATATTAACGTCATGCCGTTCACCGTTTTTTAAAGTTCATATTAATATATATACAAAAATTGATATACCAAGTCTAAGACATCCATTTTATATCAATCAATATCTAAAAATACCACATTTCCAATACTAAATCAACAACCACATGCACACATATTACCTTAAATTAGGATAGAGCGAAGCAGTCCACAGCTTTTTAGAAAGCTCAAACTTGTAGAGTTGTTTAGATTTAGAGCTTGGTATATGATATCAACACTTTTCTATTGCTGCAGGTCTTATCGCTTTGGGGGTATATTGAGCTTCAGTAATATATGGTGTCACACAGCTAATGAAATTTCACTGGTTTGGAGATTCTGATTGGTCCATACGTCATTTACAAAGACACGGAGACTGCACAATGTAATTTATGAGGACGGAAGTTGAAATTTGTGAATTGTTCTATTGAGCTTTGGATTTTATCTGGGAATATTATAATATTAATTCCAGATTTTATACAATATTCATATACACCTCTCTGTTCATCAATATCTGTTGACTTTATTAACATTAATGTAACAGTCGATACATAAAATTAATATGAGGAAATAATCAAAATAACATATAAATAACCAAAACAACATATAAATAACCAAAACAACATATATTTTTATCATGTTTTACCTGACCATTCCTTGATCTCTCGTTGTTAGTTAGTTTTAATCTTTCAAAAGAAATGATCTGTGAGTTGAGAAGATTGCCGTCCATGGGGCAATCTGGGTGTGAGTATTTCTGTGGTTTAAACATGTTATCACCAGTACCGGACACCATCCATTTGGAACTACAATATGCCATAAGGATATTACAATTACATGATAAGTTTATTTAATCGATTGAATTTAACACAACGTATGCTTAATCTAATTCAAATTAATAATTGTCAACATATTACATTGATCTTTATAATGAATTGATAGCAGATTACCGATGGTCAAATATCGTTAATCGACTAGGAAGAGACAAATCAAGGAACAAATAAAAATGATGTAATCGCATGAACCCCAAAAGGAGCGAGACCGGGTGCGTCGACAGGATGATTGTCTCCGGCTAAGCATGCATCACCTGTCATGCGAATTCATGTTTAGTCAAAATGTCACAGTCGCGGGAATAATACACAACTGGTAAAATTGCGGATAGGACGACTATACTGGTATCTCAAGATCTTAAACCGCTAAGACATGTGGCTAGTCAGATGATAATCCGACACATCTTATCGGTCAACCAATTTGTAATGGCGACCAATGGGCCACACGCCGACTTTATTAGGTCCGTGGATCCTTTTAGCTTTCTGGTTTCAACCTTCTCACCCCAAAAAAAGATCAGAACCAATAGTTGAAAATCAAAGATGATTTAATACTTTTTGAATCGTAAAACTAAGAAAAAATTTTAGGAAAAACTGAAATTGACAATGGTCGGAATTGCCTAAGAGAGTACAAAAATATATACATGTACATCTTATCAACACCTCAAAATCGTCCCAAGCCAACATATGTTTTCAGTATTGCTTACGTGGAATATATACACACATAGACAAGATAAGAATTGCTATAGGTTGCACAATGCTATTTCCCATAGGAATTCCTTTTACGGCTAAAACTGTGCCACTTTTACTACATGTGTACTATGAAGTTTCGTAAAAAATTATATCCTGGAATGGAAAGTTCATATGCACTACTATTTTTTGCAAAGGTCAAAACATAGGGCTGTGCGGCATATTTTCAACATGTATATGCCTTGGACTTTAAGAGTTTAAACTTATACTAAAACTAAAATTCTGTATATACTACCCCTCCCTTCACATTCAGTCTTCCTAAGAATTCAATTAGTCCGCAGTCCAACAGTATTTATACTAGTGAAATTCAAGTTGTGTCTCTATGATTTGAAACATGGAGATGATATCTGGAAACCAGTAGGTAAACAAAACAAAATGACCATGAATATTAAATATCTCCACAAAAGAGGCGTGGTTTATGAATCAGCTGTATTTACAAAGTGCAACCTATAACACAACCTGAAAGGGTAATTATGCTGTTTGAAATGTAAGGTTGCTTAGTGTTTTTTGTTATTCTTATTTGTCAAGAATCAATGGTTTAATTAATGAAAACAACACTTTTTAAATTTATTGCGTTTGAACTTTCTGGATTTACCTTAATCAGAAACGATCACACCCTTATATATCTGAAAGCCAAAGATGTATAAATATTTGAATATCGGTTTAGATGATGCACAGGTATAAAAAGAATTTTTATAAATGATCACATCGTAATTTTGTTGTTGTAAAATACCACTTTTTATTAAATACATGAAGTTGGGATCAGGCTTATGCTTGCTCAATAAATCTCTCCATTTTGTGATAATTTATGGTAAATTAGATGACATAAAAGACGTAACGACTGCCAGCATGCGAATATCATACCACGTGAGAAATGTTCAATCCTTAAATAAGACTGAGCAAAATGGAACATCACCGTCATGGAATAGGCAAAATAACAAAGGAAAAGATAAGACAAGGTTGTCATATATTTTGTTAAGAATATCAATAAAATTGAGAATGGAAACTGGGAATGTGTCAAAGAGACAACAACCCGAACAAATAGCAGAAAACAGCCCAATGCCACCAATGTGTCTTCAATACAGTGAGAAAATCCCATACCCGGAGGCTGATTCAGCAACAAGATATGTTATATCAATCTCTAATAAAACGAACAATAATCACTATGTTGGAGTAAGTATGAGTGCGTTGAGATGCATAAATTCCATTTGTTAGAAAAATCTGGATTGTTTACAGAGAAATATACAATTTCATTTGTTGATTTAGATACCATTAATATAAAATCAAAAGTTGTCCCTGTATCGATTTTATGGTACATTCTTTTGTATCCCTTTTTACATCGCGATGACCTTGAGGTCATTTCGATGTATTGCTATCGCTTAAATTTCCATTAATGCATAAATTATGCAAATTAGTTTTGGGATTTTAACCGATCTATAAACATGATAAATACGCGAACATAAACTAGTGCAAAATAACATTCCTTATCGTTTGATATAAAAACATCTCTTCAATGAATACTGATACAAATATTTTTGTTAATTAATAATATGAAAATGTTTTGTAGTATATATATATATATATATATATATAAGTAAAAAATCATTGATTATATCAATGCACACGTACCGATAGTCTGGGAACGTGACACAATATTCTCAATAAGCGGACTTCCGGTTCGAATAAATATAATTTGCGGGAAAATATGAAAATATGAATGGTTACTCGTATCCAAACTTTTAGAAAAATCGAATTTTTACAGAAAAGTGTCCGCCATGCACTTGCATTGCACTATCATAAGTAGAATAGTAGAATAGAATGATATACAAATGGATGGAAATCATATAAACATGTAACTGTTATTTTAATATAATATATACCAACAAATCAGTGTATACAAATCAGTGTATACTGATTTGTATCACTACAACATAATAGTTATTACGGTGAATTGTAATTTCCTGTCATTTATTCTTCATCCACACACAAACTTGTCTCAGAAAAAAAATAATTCTCTGTACATTAATTTCAGTTTCAGGTAAAGAGATATGTGATTTTTTTCCTGAGACAAGTGCTTTTGACCATCCACAAGGACTTGTGGTCATCCGATGTTCAGTACTTCAGTACTTTGATTTTATTTCGCTCATCGAAATTTAAAGGGAAGTGGTTTAGATTTAAAAAAAAAAAAACAATATATTTTTAAAGGGAAATTTAAAAAAGATGATTGAACATTTTGTCAAATGAGGTAAAAATTCCAAGATTTTGCTTTGTTATTTTTGAATTAAATTCTTCAAACAACACTAATAAATTTGATAAACAATGCATTAATGCAATGTATAAATTTGTTTATATTCGTCCCTATTGGTGTCGTAATTAACATAGGAACAAAGCAGTTATTTAGTAAATTAACCAAATTTTAATACATCGGATCAATATGGAGAGGGGTATTTAAATTACTAAAATACCTTTTCTGGTCAAAGCTTTACTTTGCAAATTGACTGTTTGAAAGGCAGAGCGAATTTTGAAAATTAAAAATCGCATTGCTCTACATAAAAGAATTATTGTGTGGGTAATTGTAACAATTCTTGCTGTTTTCACTTGCAGCGAAGTTCAAAATAAGAATTAAAACATCACTCCAATTTTAAACTGTCGTCAATTCGTCCTTCAATAGATTGACACAAACCTATGATAGACGTATCGGTACTTGTGTCTGTCTAGCTGAACAAAGTCTATATATACTCTGTACTTGGATTTGGGATCTAAACCATGAACTTTGCACCGGACTGCAGGAAACATTCGCCTGGAAAAAAATATGAAAAGAATAGAAATAGTAACTGTTCTTGTGATTAAGGTAAAAAGTCAATATTTTTGTATCTTCTGTATTGAAATTGACATTAAGTTATTTTCAAACCAATCATTCACTATTTACTTTAAAAAGAGAGCATTAGTTCGATGTTAAACTAAGTAAGAAAACTAATCATTTCCATTCGTATCAACAAAAAATAAGGGGGAAATTAATATCTAAGACTTATTAATTTTATACATTATTATGAATTGCCAAAGACAAAATTTTAATGTGACACATTTTTTTTTAAATGTTCTGAATAGCCTTTTAATGATGCGCATTTTCGAAAATGACTTCGTTAAAATTTTTGAGTACGCCGGTCTCATCTTGTTCCGGGAATTTTCACATTCCCTGTGACCATTTGTTTTAACTATTATTAAATATCAGGTTTAATTTACACGAAATAATATTTTCGGACTCATGGTAACATCTGAAGTTTCTGGGTTTAATATTACAATGGTCCAGAGCGCAAAAAAAATATGTTTGATATTACATCTTGTTAAAACAAATCATGAAAACTAAACAAACAACCAGCATTTTAAAAAACAAAACAAAACAGATCATAACGTTATTATTAACAAGTAAATAAAAAACGGCGATGAACACGAATACAAAAGTTTACATGTCTGAAACTGACAGCACTACAAGCAATAATGGCTATTTTTGAAATGTACATCTCTACACAAATCCAAAAAATTGTTCATGCAGGAATAGTTCATTCAATTGATATTATTTTACTTTTGTATATTCACGACACATATGGTCATAGAATAGATGTGTTATAATTGTAAGTGTAGTCAAGACTTTTCTGTGTTATAAATAACAGCATGATAGCATGATTATTTATTCTCACTTTACATTTGTAAGAAATAATCTTGTTCGATCGGTTCTAATGTGAATTAAACGTCTTTATTCTTTTATTATTTTTTCAACACCCTTGACAAATGCCTCTTTGGTGGGAATATCATGCTGCCATTTTTAGATTTATATTTTTTTGTGTTCACAAGCTTTGGTAATTTTACCCCTTATATTTATTGGTTGTATTTTAAAAAAGACAGTTTTTACAGGTTTTTTTAATGACTTTGCAACATTACCACTTGTTTGGTTAGTTATTATTGTATCAAAGTATGCTGAAAGTTTATATATAACTAAATTGAAGCTCTTCAACTTTTGTATAAGGTTTTGGACTTTCAGATATCACTGAAGAGACATTAATTGTCGAAATGCACATCTTTAGCACTACAATTGGTACCGTTAATGTTATTAATTGCATTGATGATTTGAATTACTTTATATATCAATCTTTAAAATATATGTTCTTACCAGACCCGGTCGGGGATCAAGGAAAGAATCAGATCTACTCTAACATTGTTAGGTTGATTTTCTAGGCACTTTATATATATATATAAGAACATCAGTTGTTCGACCTGCTAGTCAAATGCGTTTTGTTAAAATATACTTTTTCACTCATTTTGGTCTTTTGGAAAATGTTGTTTGTGCTGTATTTAGACCCCTCTACCTAGAAATTTGTTTTGCATGCACACTTATAAAAATTGCGGTTTTTATCCAACGCAATCATAGGTTTGAACGTTGTTTTCAATTTAGACTTGTTTATATATATATATATATATAAGTACGTCTAAATAAGTGACAACTCTACGACAGATCCATTTATTGGATCACCAGTGAAGGTGATACACGGCTGAAAACACATATTATATTCATAATTACTCTAAATATCAGCACAACAATTTGAAATCTGCAAAGTTGCGGAAGCAAATTTTTGTTATTCCCTCGATCGCCGGTATACGAACTCATACAATTGGGATACCGTGACAACACCGCCTGCACTATGTCAAGCGCTCTAGACCACTCGGCCACCTAGACTGAACAAAATTCAGCTATATACTTATATATATATATATATATATATATATATATAAAGATTCTATAGTAACTTTAAATTCCTTATAACAATGTAAGCTCTCATATACATTCTGAAAATTATTCTGTCGTTCTTTTCTGTTTACCTTCCAGATTTTGTAATTATCATCTCTGTTCCAAGAGCATGGAATGAATGCCACAAGTCACTCTGACAAAGTTCTATCGAAATGTTTTTTGAATGGGTATCATCTGAAACATATTATTATTATTATTATTAATAAATTAATAGGAATAACAAACATGCTCAACTCCAAGACAAATTAGTCAGTCGTCCATGCTCTAGAAATCTAAAACCTCGCGAGTAGGAGAGATCGATTACGGAGAGTGCTTTAATTATTCGGGTTAGCTCAACTCTAAGATTGTTGAAGCACCACCTGCAAAAACACTACAGCAAACATATGAGACCTTTTACTATTGCACACTAAAGGAAAAATATACCACTTATAACGTACTTAAAAATTAAGAAAATTGGGGAAGCGGCAATTGCGGGAAAAGGTAGCGAAAATGGGTTTTATTGCATTTCCAACATTATAAGATAGTCCTTCGTAATTCAAAATATAAATTATGTCCTTAACAATAAACAGTAAGTTTTGAATAATATACTAGTTCAAACTCATAGTTTGCCTTTTTAGAAATCACAAGGATTAAAACAGAAATATTTATATAATCGTGATCATGAAACGAAGAATTTGATTGATAAATATCCATCTGAAACTATTCATTTATAATGTCGAATAAAAATAACCCAGATATATGATCGGATCGGCCGATTTAAAGGAAACAACTTTATAGAAGGCACAACTATGTATGATTCTGATAGACACAAAAAATCCGAATTAATCCGTAAAATATACACAGAATTTTTTCGTTTTCGACAAGAAAAATAAAAAGGAATATTTCCAACTTGCAATCCAATCACACTGGATGATAATCTTAATACTCATAAGTTAGTCATAGTCATTTGGAAAATAGTTGTTTTTATCATTACTTAACTGTATAGTAGTTTTTAATTTTAATAACTTAAAAAGTGTATTTTTGTTTGTTTTAAGTCAAATATCCATCTGAAACTATTCATTTATAATGTCGAATAAAAATAACCCAGATATATGATCGGATCGGCCGATTTAAAGGAAACAACTTTATAGAAGGCACAACTATGTATGATTCTGATTCAAATAAAAATGTTAGTTGAGGCATTCGATGATTTATTTTTTTTATATACTATTATTCAATAAGCTCACATAAATATTTAATGTAGTTCTTAACTAATATAATTTGTAACAGTAACCGGAGGAAAGTGTTTCATTCCTTTATTCAATATGTTTTTATCATCCTTTCCAGTTTTCTCCATATTGCTAATTTCAATAATAATACTTTAATTCCTTCTGGACTTTCTTAATCATATTATTAAACACACATTTAAAAAATATTTGAATTGATTTAACACCAAATAACTATAATGTTATAATAATAATCTATTGTATTATATAATAACGTTAAAATTAAAATTATTTTTATAAAAAATATTTGGTTTTTAATTAATTCTGAAATAGTTCCAAAGTAAATGCAAAAGGCACTCAAACGACATATCATCGTTCGATGAGATTTGTATATATATTCACATTTCATCTATTGACAAACATGCTACTTACCATGAACAATCTGTGTAGAATTATGAACACACTGCGTTCCTTGGCCTGGGACTGGACAAATTTCTCCAACCCCGTCACAGGTATGGGCATTTTGCTTACAGTTTCGCAAATCTAGACCCAGAAGATTTTCAATGCAAAATGCTTTTGCATTTTCACTGAACATTTTTCTGTCAACTTTTTTGTGATTTGATCAAAGTAAATTTTATTTATGTTACATGTCTCAGGTGACTGAAAAAGATGAAGAGTGGTCCATTGGTGAGAAAAGTATAGATTTATTAGACAGTATCAAAGGACGTATCGGGTTTGACTATCAGTGTAAACAGATAAAGAAGCTATCATTGTTTCAATGGTTACAGGACCACGATAGGACATCCCACTGTGAGCTTTTCATCACTAGACTTCACTGTCACCTAAGATAACCCCAACACCAGATAGGACATACTGGCGCTAGACAAAACAGAATAAACATTATTTTAATAGATAAAAAAGATATATGCAATTGTAGGGACTTTGCCAAGTTTTTTTTAACAAATCACGCCATATATCGTTTAATTCTTTACCTAACCTAAAATGAACAGCTTTTTGTAAAAATGAAAAAAAAAAAATGTTCAAAACTTCATATACATAAGAATATCACCAACATTTTTTTTTAATTCCTTGCAAAAGAAAATTAAACAGAAAATTTCAATATTTGATATAAACGATAAATTAAATTTCTTACTTTTAAACAGTTTTTTATATTATTGACCACTTGAATTTATACATTCCTAGATTACTATCAAGAAGATTTTGGTTTTATTTTGTATATATAATTCTGTACATGTATACTTTGAGGTTTTCCTATTATTAATATTCAATGATTTAAAGGGCAACATTGTCAATAATCTGGGGAAAAAATAGATAATTTCAATTAAAACAAAAAAATATATCAAAAGAGCCTCAATACGAAAATGTAGTTCCAAAAAGAAGAACTTTGTAGTTTAGAGCTTTAAAAATGAGATCTTTACCAAAATTATATCATTCTTCTTTATTGATTTCCCGATTGCCTTGCAAGATTAACCTAAAGAAACTTAAGTATTCGTTGTATAATTATATCTTTATATATACATTCATCTTTATCGCTTTCCCATGTGCCTTTCAAAGATCAACACCAAAAAACTTATAAAAATAGCCATTAGCAAAGTCATATTTTAGAATGTAAGAATGCAACTTCATAGGTCAAAGATGACCATATAAGTTTAGGGCTTTTCCCTTGAGGCCAAAAAGATGTCAATTTTTTTTGGGCGGGTGGGGGGGGGGGGGGGGGGGGGGGGGCATTTCCATAAAGGTCAAAAGATGGCCTTATTATATAGCTCTCCATGTACAAATTCATATTTGGTTGTCTCAACAGTTGGTTATTAACATACTAGTATTAGAAAAATTAAGAAATATATGCATCGAATGCAACAGACAATGTGTTTGAACTTAATTTGACAGTCTGTCAGTTTAATTTTCTTTTGGTTTTCTTTATTACCAATTTTGAAGTGAAAAAAAATTAAAAAAAACATTTTGTATGTGCAACTATAAATATTCAATTTTACAACTGATGTTCGATTTTCAAAGATCTTTTTCTAGTCTGGTAAACTAATTGACAATGAAATCTGGTTTTAGATCTACGAGACTTATTTTAGCAAATTCTGGCATTACGACCCATGTTAACTTGCTGTTCTTTCAGAAAACTTATGCTTAAAGGTTAGTAATTTAAACTTGTAATGCGATCTTTGAATACATGTTTATTGGTATTTACATTGACCTTTTACTCAAAGTAGTATTCATAACATTATATGGCTATCTAGTTATTAACACTTATTATCCTGCAAACTGTCGATACTTATTGTATGTTGGCGTTGCACAGGGGTGTGCATACTTTTCCTAGACTACTTATGACGTATTTACACGATATCCCGTTGGAAGTTGACATGTTAGTTTATTTATTAGTTGAATCGGTCTTTGAAATAGCTCTCAGTTTTTGTGATGGTCTAGGATCATTGTGTTAAATGTTCCTTGTACTCAGTACCGATCTGATGAGACCCTTGATTATTTACAGTTTGTTCTAATGGTGTATTGTTACAACACTGCGTGTGATTGGTGTGGGTTTCACAGATAGTTACAGTTTGTTCTAATGTTGTATTGTCACAACACTGCATGTGATTAGTGTCGGTTTCACTGATATTTACAGTTTGTTCTAATGTTGCATTGTTACAACACTGCATGTGCATGATTGGTGTGTGTTTCACTGATATTTACAGTTTGTTCTAATGTTGTACTGTTACAACACTGTATGTGATTAGTGTGGGTTTCACTGATATTTACAGTTTGTTCTAATGTTGTATTGTCACAACACTGCATGTGATTGGTGTGGGTTTCACTGATATTTACAGTTTGTTCTAATGGTGTACTGTTACAACACTGCATGTGATTAGTGTCGGTTTCACTGATATTTACAGTTTGTTCTAATGTTGCATTGTTACAACACTGCATGTGCATGATTGGTGTGTGTTTCACTGATATTTACAGTTTGTTCTAATGTTGTACTGTTACAACACTGCATGTGATTGTTTAGGGTAGGATTGAGCGTTCACAAAAATGCTAAAATCAGGTCGCTGGTTTCTTTTTTGAATTGTATCACATTTTGTTATCACGCAACATTTATTATATAGCTTGTCAATCATTGCATATCTCCAAATTTTTATAATTAGTAATGAATCTCTTTGAAAGAAAATTTCAGTTTGTACTCTGAGATTTTGAGTTAAATATCAGACTACTAGTATTCGAAATAATAAATGTGTGATTGTTATGTTAAATTAGGGGTTTCCGTATGTATAATGTTTATATTTTATTCCATTTTGTTTAAGTGCAAAGAGAGCAAAAAAAGTATTACATTAGACATGTATGTGGATTTTTTATTTTACTCACCATTTATTTTATATTTGTCTTGACAAACGTTCGGGTCAACGCTTGATAATGATCTGTTTTTAAAAATGCTTCTATTGCAGCATATCATGTATTGTAAGTTTGCTGTCCTACTGATGCAAGTATACACAACGGTTCTATTGGGTCAACATTTAGAGGAAACATTATACTTATTATTTTTGGGTATAAACATGCTTGTCCTGCATACATTATTAGTGTTTTCCAATTCAACATTTTATGATGGTACCCATTTTATCTAAAAGCAACAATTAGTAAAAAGTGGTAAATATTAAAAATTGTTTATAATATAATTCACGTTACAAAACACAACCTAGAATGAATTTGTTTTAACTGGAATATCAAGAGCATTTCATATAAGGCAATTTTTCAAAATATTTTAATCATGACGACGCTCAATATTAATAAAATGTTAACATTTTCTTTTCAGTGTAAGTCTGTTTTAATTTAGCTGCTTTTATTAACACTTAACGAGAATTTTTTTTTTTATTTCATCAAAGATTAGATACTTTTACGTTGTGTAAGTATCTGTGTATAACCTGGGTAGCAACAATATTTACTATAGACTTAAAACAGTGCAATCAGTTGACACCACTTTTAATTCTTTTAATCCTCCTATCAGCATGTATATGTTGCTTGGTGTAAACAACATACGCCAGAGGTGAAACATTTACTATTAAAGTGGATACCGCTCTTGTTAAGGAAGGAATTTGTCAGGTTTTATTGCACACACTATGGAATTTGTCTATTATGATATTACTTTACCGTATCATATGAGCTAAAACATCAAGGGGTTCCGAGCAATAGATTTGATAACTACCAGTTAATTGGTACAAGCAGTCGAAACTCGTGTTGACAGAAATGTCAGTAAAACGGGTGGAAAAATAACAAATGATACACATATAACAACGTTCAAACGTTGTCGTTGTCAGAGTATTAGTTGTACAAGATTATCAATTACATCTTAATGGACAATTAAATTGGAAATAACTTGGAAAACCTACTATTTAAACAAAGTCAGTTCTTATACCTGTCTTTCAATATATTGCGTGAATATCCATTTAAAAAGGCACAAATGTCTAATTAAAAAGCTCAAACGTGCAATGCCAAATATGATATCCTTTGATTAAAAAGTAAACTTCGTCACGTGTATCCTCAATTACAAGTCACTCTAGAAAGAATTACAAATCCAATTCTTTGAATTTATTCAGATTAAAAAACAATTTTCTCAAAAATTCACGTGTACGCCGGTGCGTTTTGACGTAAACGTAGCTATGCGCCTGGAAGAGAATTTACAATTTTGCCTTTGTTGAAATATTTGCGGATATTGTTTTGCTGATCATTTTGTAGATCTTGTCCCGTTGATCATTTTTGCTTTGAAAAGTTTCTTTAACAATCCTGCTTTGTTTTAGACCAACACGATGAGCTGGATTTTTAACATGCTAGTTCACAAGGTAACAGTCCCCAGGAAAATGTGTTACCCTATCCGAACACATTATTCTGACTCCAGTCCGACCAGTCTTTGCTGTTTTTTCTTAATGCAGCGTGCTTAGCGAAAAAAAGCAATATATACCAATTTTAAATTCTAGTTCGACTCTGTTAGGCTTCCAATACTGAGAACCTCCTTTACCGAGGCGAACACACTACCACAGGACCACCGAGGCGGTTTACAAGAGGCTTGAATATACCATGATGGATGTCAATAGAAGGTCTTAGTGACCCATTTTTGTATTCTTGTAATCGGTAGACATTTTTTTACAGACTTTATCTTATTATTGGAAGTTGACCATGGAATATTAGATAACTGCAAACAAGAGTGCACACGCTGAAATGTCTCGCCTGTTTTACTTATCACTGAATTTATGTTGAAAATATGAAGGTATCACATAAACTTAACATTATCAATATTCTATGAAAATGAGGTCAGCTGAACCGTGCCAGACAGAAATGCACACCTTACAATCATTCCATACACCAAATATAGTGGTCCTATCGTTAATAGTACCTGAAAAACAGATCAAACCGCATATAATCTGCTAGACAGACCTGTTCATCTTACAATCATTCCATACACCAAATATAGTTGACCTATTGCTAATAGTATCTGATAAACTGACAAAATTACGAAAACTTATCATTAACCAATGAAGCATGAAAATGAGGTCAAGTTCATATAAACCCTACCAGACAGACATGTACACCTTAAAGTCGTTCCATACATCATATATAATTGACCTATTGCTTATAATATCTGAGAAATAGACCAAACCACAAAGAAAATGAGGTTAAGGTTAGGTAAAACCTGCAAGACGGACATGTAAACCTTACAATCATTCCATACACCAAATATAGTATCCCTATTACTTAAAGTATCTGAGAATAGACCAAACAACAACATTTAAAGAATGTCCAATGAACCATAACATTTAGGTCAAGGTCAGATGAAGTCTGCCAGTCGGTCATGAACACCTTACCATACACCAAGACGTTGCAAGGAACCAATATACCAAATAAAGTTATGCTATTACTCATAATAAGTAAGTATTTCACTTGACAAAAAAAAACAATTTCAAGCAGTCACTGAACCATGAAAATGAGGTCAAATACAATGGACATATAAAAGACGGAAACTTTGTAACATAAGGTTTCTGTATAAAAGATATGAAGCATCAAGGTCTTCTTCCTTAAAAAATATAAAACTTTATGTAATAGTTTACACTGTCGCTCCCGGATTGTAGTTCCTATGTCTCGCATTCTGTGCATACGAGACAAATTTACAATATTTTAGGACTGATATAAAACCCATATGATGAGAATGAATAATAAACTTGACAACAAAGATGCACCAAGAATTAAGACCAAGAAATTTATATAAAGATGCTAGGCACGCATTTGAAAAGACTGGAAAGCACTGCATATATAACTGTTAAATGATGCTGTTGAAACTGATGTAAAGCTGCAACCCTATCTAGTCATTGAGAAGTTCTACAATGTTTATATATAAGCAGCACATAATCAGTTAACTTGTAAATTTTTAGACAGCGGTAATTTCAGAAGTTGAAATATTAACACATTTCTGAAGAAAATAGAAACTACATGAGAAAAGAGAAAACTGCACTTCCACTAGACCAGTGTATCAAGTCCTTACAAAGAAATTAACATTGTCTCACTCTTTCACTCCCTCTCAAACTTACTTCTTTACATACCACTCTCAACATTACCCTCATCCTCTCAATTCTTCCTTTTTCTCCCTATAGAACATACAACTTTAAATACCACTCTCATTATTTACTCTCACCTCTCAATGTTTCCTATTTCTCCCTCCCTCCATTCTCTCTAATCCATACCAACCTTAGCCACCTATATTATCCTACACTATGTGTTACATACCCATATGTCAAGTTTGTTAGTTGAAGATTTATAATCATGAAGTACCTGGCATGAAAGAATAAATTTTCAAAATTGAAAAGATCAAAACCTTTTTGACATGAAACATGGAAGTTGTTTTTAGTATTGAGCCAAATTTTGAAGTTGTTAGTTTTTATTTTCAATATTAAATGGTTATCATATCATTTCTTCAAATCTAAGTTAACAGCAAAGTTACAATAAGCCAAAATGTGTGATGTAATTTTTATAAAAAGAAATTATCCTTGGATAACCATTATGCAGTCAAAATTTTTATTTAACTGAAAGGTGTTAAAAATATTTTAAAACAATTAAAAAAAAATTTAATAAAAGAAAAAAGTAAGTCCAAAATCAAAATTGACAAAAGTTTTATAAACGCCAAATGGTACAAAAGTACCTGTCTGCTTGTACTAGCCAGCTGGTCTGTGGGTTATCTGGACTTTAAGGTGCTAGTTCACCAAGACAAAAGCCTGCAGTAAGACACTTGCCTCTTCCTTTCGGAGTACCAGTTTCAAAGTCTCTGATTTGACTTTGGCATGCCTTATACCAAAAAAAGGGTAATTAAAATGTTGATAGAAAGGTAAAATATCTAACTTAAAATTTTGTAAAAAATGTAAAATAAAAAATAATTAAAACACCATCAAAAGGATAAAACAGTAAAACATCCCCAACTAAAATTTAATAAAAGCAAACAAAATGACTCATTTAAAATTTTGATAAAACCAATAAACAGTAAAACATCCCCAATTATTTTTTTTTTATAAAAACAGTAAAACATCACCAACTAAAATTTGATAAAACCAAATAAAATTACCCATTTAAAATTTTGATAAAACCAGTAAAACAATCCCAATTAAATTTGGATAAAAACATATATAATATTCCATCCCTGTTTGAAAAATAATAAAATGACCCAATTAAAATAATGATAAAAGCACTTAAATATCCCCGATTAAAAATTGTGATAAAAAACAGTAAAACATCCCCAATTAAAATTTGATAAAAAAAATAAAATGACTCATTTAAAATTTGGATAAAAACATTAAAACATCCCAAACTAAAATTTGATAAAAGCAAATAAAATAACCCATTTAAAAATTTTGATAAAACCATTAAACAATCCCAATTAAAATTAGATAAAAAGATATAAAATACCCCCATCCCTGTTAAAAAAAAACAATAAAAAGACCCGTTAAAAATAATGACAAAAACAGTAAACATCCCCAATTAAAATAATGATAAAAACACTAAACTGTCCCCGATTAATATTTTGATAAAACCATTAAAACACTCCAATCAAAATTTAATAAAAAAATAAAATGATCCATTTAAAATTTTGATAAAAACATTTTTTAAAAAACATCCCCAACTAAAATTTGATAAAAGCAAATAAAATGACCCATTTAAAATTTTAATAAAACCAGTAAAACAATCCCAATTGAAATTGGATAAAAACATATAAAATACCCCATCCCTGTTAAAAAAACAATAAAATGACCCGTTTAAAATAATGATAAAAACAGTAAAACATCCCCAAATTAAAATAATGATAAAAACAGTAAAACATCCCCAAATTAAAATAATGATAAAAACAAATAAAATGACCCGTTTAAAATTTTGATGAAAAATTTAAACATCCCCAATTGAAATTTGATAAAAACAAATAAAATGATCCATTTAAAATTTTGATAAAAAACAATAAAAAAATCCCATTTAAAATTTAGATAAAACAATAAAATTACTCATTTAAAATTTGGATAAAAACAGTAAAACATCCCCAATTAAAATTTTGTTAAAAACAGTAAAATATCCCCAATTAAAATTTGAT